TGACATGGTTGGGGTCAATGTCCAAATTTTTAACATTTTATTAATTTATTTTACTTCTTTTAACACGAAACCGTACTAAAAATGAAAATATTACGGGAGATTTTTTTTTTTTTTTTTTTTTTTTTTTTTTTTTTTTATAATATTTGAGAGATGATAAATTTGTGGGTTGTAGTTAAAAATAAAAAATAAATATCATTTATTATTTAAAACAATAAAATTATTATTATTAAATATACGACTTTTCAATGTATTTTGAGGAATTTTGGACCACATATTCCAATAGTGGCTTCTAGGGACACTCATGCATTATTAAGTCACGACTAATATGTCATTTCACATTCTACACTAATTTTCTCTCTATTTATTAGAGTCATTACAGCAAATTTTTTTTTTTTTACAATTAATGCATTATTTGAAACATAAAGTGATAAATAATTTAGAATTTTCAAAAAAAAAAAAAAAAAAAAAAGTGTCAATTACAAATGTGGGGCCTACATTTTGTCCATAAAAAAAGACGTTACATGAAATTACAGTTTTGTGTCACATCTAATTAAAGTATGCAAGTCATCTGAATTTGATAGGAAAATAAATAATTCGACACCTATTAGTGTGAATTGTTTGCCTGCAAAATGGAGATATAACAGCTGCACTTTCCTAAACCACTTATTTAGGTTGTTTAATTATCTTCTTCAATTTGATGATATGGCCCCCACAACTTTGTACTACAAAATTGAAGTTCCAACTTCCAACTATTATTTTTTTTACTATAATCTTTACTACTATTTCTATTCCTAATTGACTATCGTTTTTCCAGCTTTACACGAGTATTAAAAAATAGTAAAATAATCTTGATTATATAATGATAGTTAAGAGATACTTAATACTTAAATTTGAATTAATACGGTTAAAATATAAAAAAATGCTTTTAATGTAATATTCAAAATTTATAGTGGCAGATAATATGAAACAAAAATATATTTTAAAAGAGACAATTAATCGGATTTTTAAAATATTTTTTTTGCGATTTTCTTTTTTTTTTTGGAAAGAGATTTGCACTTCCGAATATAATCGGATTTTTTCTGAAAGAGATAATTCTAGTCTGATCCATCTGATTTACACCTAAATCTGGCCAATGTAGTGAACTTTACAATATTCTAAATTTTGCAATGTGAAGCACTAATGTTTGAGATTTTCTAATTTAATGGATCCAAATTTATATCCTAAAAAGTAAAAATCATTATATTTAATTATTTTTTTAATTTATTAAAATTATAATAAGATAGTGCATCATGAACTTTTAATACACCCCACCGAAATTCAAGCCATAGAATTTTGTACAATATTGATTGTTAATTTGTGGCTGTTATCTTCCATATTCAAGTTGTGTCATAGCCAAGTGACCGTGGCCCTACTACTACATGCCACTAGTTGTACATAGTGCATCGGATATTGTACCGATTGGAATAAAAATTGAATTTTGAGATTACAATTAAATTCGAATTGGAGTGGTCCATAAATATTTTGTGCTCCAATTTTAAGACAAGTGTGTGTCAGTGCGTGAGTAAATGGTCCTTGGAAACATGCTACAATCTTCTGGCACCAACATTGAAATAATTAATAACCCATTATATATATATATATTTTTTTACAAAAATATAAATTCATTTAATTACAATATAATTTGTTATATTTGCTAGTATAAAATATACAACTTCAATTATTGAATCACATCGGTATATTTCATGGTCACGAATCTTGATTATTGTCAACATATCTCAATAATTGGGTTAAAATAATAAAGTCTGTTTTTCAATAATTGGAATAGTATACTCCCTCTGTCCCATATTATATGTCTTTTTAAAGGATTTTTTTTGTCCCAAATTATTTGTCATTTTAGATTTTCAATGCATCATTAATTGCACTATTTTCAATTTTACCCTTTATCACTCATAATTAGTTAGTTGTAAAATAACTAATGTCAAGGATATATTAGTATTTTCCTATGTTTTTCACTATAATCTATACACATTTATTGATTTTCTTAATATGTGTGCAACAACCCAAAACGTCATTTAAATTGGGACGGAGGGAGTATATTTTATCTCGGGAATCTAAAATTTTCCAACACCTCAATCATGATGTAATAATTGTATTATTTAATCAACACATATACTATATCAATTATATATGCGTGTTTAATTCAAATCATACCCGAAAGGGAAAAAAAAATTAGTGAACCATTGGATTCAAACCCTAAATCTTAGACCTAATACTTAATATTATTTATCATTTCTTCTTAATTATGAATTTTGATAATTATATTTACTTGATGCTCGTTGAAGTGCAAAGTTCATGTGTTAGCCTGAGTTTGACAATAATTGTCCACGTGGTATCTTAACCATAGTTACATATTCGATTTTCAGCTGAAGTAATTGTGAAGGGGGAGATTGTTAACCCAATTAACGTGTCGATCAATAAAAGAATCGATTTTTAACATAATGTTACAACTCTACTAACACTTGATGACCATATTAATCAAGTTAAATATACACAAATTATTGATTCCCCCTTGTCTCTTGGTGCTAGCAGACAAGCATAAACATCTACCAAATATTAACATGCAGAAAAAGATAATTTAATTAGTAATTAATTCCATATTATCTGGGGATTCCCATTGTGGGGCAGATTAGATTCCAAGAATATGCCTACCCCCTACACACAATTTTTTTTTTCTACATATGATTAATAAACGACAATTTTATTTATCGTAGATTTCCATATTTTAATGAATACTTATAAAAGAAAAAGGTACACAAAATTGAAATTGTAATTACCAAACATGAGGTATTTTTTCGTAATTTGGTCATACTTCAGGGGCGCCCGTAATTTACCCATTAAAAAATACCAAAAAATGAGGGATTTTTTCGTTATTCAATCCTATTTCAGGGGTGTGGCCGTAATTTACCATTAAAAAATAAAAATAAAAATGGAGGGAAAAAAAGATAGTGATAAAGTGCATTTATTATTTATATGATTAGTTTGAATCAACATCTTAATAGTTGGAAAGTGTCGATATTTCTGGTAGAGAGATGTGTGCACATGTAATTTATGTGGTCATGAAACCAACAGCACAGAAACAGAATCACCTAGCTGAG